GCGAATTCCAGCATTTAGGTAACTTCAAGCGTACTTCGCCTTAAGATGTTCGACACATCAAATCTGCGAAGGCATCCATGAAAAGGTCCTTGAGGCCAATGTGCTCAATTTATAAGAGGAGCTAGAGAGCGCAGTTGGACAATTGGAATTTGAAACCATGATTAAAAAACAGTTTTTGTAGAAAAAAACTTCAATCAGGCTTTATCAGCATATAGACAATATTCTGCACAGGAAATAAAGGAAATAAGTGCTTTCTGCATTCTGGAGCAGAAAGCAACATTGGTTAGTGGGGAAGGGCCATACAATAGAAGCGAACTGACAGTTTGGATACCCACAAGTAATGCAGTCTTTACAGTTACAAATTAAGGAGCTCACTTTATCACTTTATGTTTGTGTATACTAATCAAATACAACATCACTGCAGTGTGAATTTAGCTGACAATTTGCTTCTTTGAAGTTCAGTCAGGCTTTATAAGCAATGTAGACAATTTTCTGCAAAGGAGATGCTGCTTTTTCTGATTTTTGACGTAACTACATGTTTTTGATAAAATCTAGTGTTCCCCTTCAATCTTGCCAACTCCGCTCTCCTTCTTCTGTGCATATGTGCAGTAGTAAAAATTCTTTATTTTTCAATTTTTGGCTTAATTTGCTGTAATTTTATATCATGATAATGATGGTAAGTTTATGCTAAATGAAATTTTTTTTAAAAAACGAACAAAGATTTGTCGCTATAAAAGTTGTGATTTGTACCTAAATTGTTTGGAGATGCTTTTTGTTGATAATTTTCAAAGATGGGAAATCAACATAATCAAGCTGGACGTATAAAGTTTCCATATTGTTATGCCATGTTCGCCATTTTCTATGCTCCTTTAAAAACACCACAATTTAACAAAATGAGGTGTTCTTAAAGGAGCATAGAAAATGGCGAACATTTTTTTTCATTCTTTTCAAAAATTTTCAAGTGCGAGTATTTTTGGCCAAAGAAAAACATAGGCGTTCAAAATGGTAAAACTCGGCCGTTGTTATAATGTTGTTGATGACTTTAACGCTAAAATCAAAAGCTCTCAACTCAGTCGAACTTGCTTCCGGCTGATCTTGCACAACTCAGAATTAGCCTTGCATAATGAATAGGGTGAGTGGAGTTAAGGCTTCCACCATGGCTTCAATTTGGGAACTGAAGACATTGACAAATTTGAAGGAAAATAACAAATCCCTTTATAGCTCGTGATTGCCCATGTGGGTTCAAAATGTTCTCCATTTAGCAGTAATAAAATCCTGTGTAAAGGAGTCGAACCCCCTATTTTCATATTTCAGAATACAATACATCGGCAGAAGAAATTTATTCAGACCTATACCCCAACCTTATGGCACTCTGTGGGTGATTACTGACTACGGTGTTCGAAAAAGGGAAGGAAGAGGAGAAGGAGAGAGAAGAAGGCGATATGCCTAGAATTGTACTGCGTTAGGAGTGCGTTTGAAACGAAGGTTTATAACAAATCGTGATTGCTTTGTTTTGGTCCCCAGGCGATTTCAGAAGTGCGACTGGCCACAGAGAGCTCCATCTGTGCCAACAGTGGCTTTGAATTGCAAGAGAACCTTGTTGTTGGTCTCTACACCCGTGTGGAATATCTCGAGTTCGATATTCAATTTGAGTTGCTAGATGCCGCTGAATATTTTGAGATTCGTTTACAATTATCACGTCGAAAATCGTTTCATGCTGCAGTCAAACCTTCTCCATTATTAGAAGTATTGCCTATACAGTTAACTGCTAGTTTTAAGCTCGCAGTAATCATGCAAAACCGCAAAATAGAATTTCAGATGAAGAAGAACGCACAAAAAGCTGAATCATTCAGCTCTGAGCAAACTCGCAGTTAAACTTTGAGGCATTTCTTATCGTATACTTCTAATTCTGAAAAATCACTGCGCCTAAGTATCCTTCCCTTTCTAAGCTTGTAACGAGTTAATCAATGCAATACTTCTATTTAACTTGTCCCGCATGGAAACTCCTCATCATGCAAAGCTAAGGAATGATGTTTTTAGCAAATGCTCTTTTGGAATGGCGTATGGAAGTTTCCCAATCTTGTCAAGAGTCATGTCCACACGTGGAGATGGTGAAGTATAGCGAGGATCAGAAATAATA